GCAGCTGGGGTGAGCAATGCCGAAGCCAAGCTGGAGCTTGGAGGTGTTTGTGGCAGCAGTGTTGAGGGACTTGAAGACACCTGGATGGGCAATGCCAAGGGCATTGGAAGCACGTAGTGTGGGCAGTGCCAAAGCCAAGCTGGAGCTTGGAGAGGTGTTGGGTGGGCAATGCCAAAGCTAAATTGGGTCCTGGAGGCATCTGGGTGCATGATGCTGAGGGTTTGGAATCACCGGGGCCAGCAATGCCAAAGCCAAGCTGGAGCTTGTTGGCACCTGCAGTGCTGGGAGGGCTGGTAGAGCCCTTCACCTCTGCTCAGCCGGGCTGGTGTGGTCTCTCCGGCAGGCGGGATGCGCCCCAACACCCTGGTGCTGGGCTTCTATGACGACGCGGCACCGCAGGATGGTCTAGCCCGGCACCCCGCCTTCACCAGCACCCGTGAGGAGGTCCCCCTGGGCTTCCCCCCGCTGCGGGCACCCACCACCCCCAAGCTGCTGTCGCCCCGGGAGTACGTGGGGATCGTGGCTGACGCCCTGAAGATGCTTCGCAATGTCCTGCTGGCCCGGCAGCTGGAGAGCCTGGACAAGGCCTGGGAGCTGCGTCGAAGCTGCGCCAGCTCCTCAAGGACTTGCGCATCCAGGCCCAGATCCAGTTGGTGCCCTGGGATGCCGTCACCCGCCTGCACTGGCAAACCCGACGGGGACCCCCGGGGGGGCCGGCGCCCGCTGGGGCGGAGGAGGAGGAGGAAGGGGCCGTGAACTTCCCAGCCAACACCACCCAAGTGTCAGATGAGTACGTCTGTGCCGCCAACAAACTCATCCTGGAGCAGAGCCCCGCGCCGGCCGTGCGCTTCCTCTACCTGCCACGGCCGCCAGCCGACACCAGCCTCTACCCGCTCTACCTGCACCAGCTGGAGCTGCTCACCCGCGGGCTGGGCCCCACCGTGCTGGTGCACGGGGTGAGTGCCGTCACCAGCACCCAGCTCTAGGTCACCTCCGGCTCCCCCCGGCTCCCTGTGCCCTCCTTTGCCCAGTGCCTTTAGCAGCCTGAGCCTGGGGGTGTCCCCAGCCCCGGTGTCCCCACCCCGGTAGGCAGGGAGGGATTGGGTGCAGGGGAGTGGGTTGTTCTTTTTTGGAGGGTGTCCCCTGCAGAGGATTAAAGCTGCCCTGGCAGGATCCAGGCACAGCCCTGGTGCCGGCTGGGCAGCACGGTGCATTCACGGTGCCTTTTCTTTGGGGTGGTGGTGGGGTATAGCGGGGTCCCGGGGCGGCCAAGCACTGGGTGCCCCACTTGGTTGCTGGGAGCCCCTTGGTCACACCCTGCACCCCCCTTCCC